AGCCTGTGAAGTTGGTTGTAACAGTCGTTTTTGAGAAAACTTTCAATTTGCTTCTGTCGATTTTGTGTACGAGTGATAGCAAGTTTATAAAATAAATAATTAATATATTTTTAAATAATATAAATATAAATTATATGTTAAAAGGTTTATTTTATATATATAAATATAAATAAAATTTTTAAATTTTAAAAAAAATTATAATTACTAACTTTTTATATATAAATATTATTAATTTTACTATATAAAATTATTAATTTTTTATCCCTTAGATTGTCATGCAGGCAAATTTGTCTGCGAAATTTTTAAAGTTAATTTTCTGTATTATAGTAATATTAAATTTATACTGATTTACAAATTAAATATAATAACAGGTTTTTAAGTTTGTGTAACTTAAAAATATAAGATTGTTACGCAGGCAAATTTGCCTGCGAACTTTTTTAAAAAAATTTGATTAACAAGAACCAATCAAATTAAATAAAATCACATGATTAAATAAATTTAATTAAATAATAGATTATCATAAATATAGTTATCTAAAATGAATGAAACTTTACAAACTAAAGAAGAATTTTATCTTTGTTCTTTTAGTCGTAAACAAGATATTGATGAAATTGATAATTTAGATTATCTAATAGTAGTTATTGAAGAAAATTCACAATTAATAAATGAAAAAAATAAAAAAAATAATAATAAATCCAATGAAATATATAAAAAATTAGATGATTTTTTACCTTTTCAACACAAATATTCTTTACATGAAGCTTTACCTATTCTTCCTAAGAAATTTATTCTAATTCAAAAATCTGCATCATATTCAATTTTTAGTTTATTTTTTTCAGAACATCAGTTGCAAACTATTGTAATGAATACCAATATATATGCTGCTATTCATAATGCAAAACATGGTACAAATCAAGCAGGTGAAGGTCGAAATTGGACTAATTTAACTCTTAATGAATTTAAATTCTAGTTAGCACTTGTAATATATATAGGAGTATTTAAATTTCCAGCAATTACTGATTATTGGAAAAAAGATAGTAATTATCCATCTCATGATATTACTAAAACTATGTCATTATTCCGATTTCAACAAGTAAAATAAGTCTTTTTTTTTTTGTTTGTTTTTTTTTTTTTAAAAAAATTTTATCATATATTTAAATTTTTAGATCAAACATTTTTTACATCTTTCTGATTGTACCAAATTATCATCGAATTGGTTTGAAAAAGTAGAACCACTTGTATCACACATTAAAAATATATCAAAACAACTTTATTTGCCTGCATCAAACCTGTCATTAGACAAAATGATCGCAAGATTTTCTGGACACAGTGCACATACATTTCGTATAAAAAATAAACCCACACCTAAAGGATATAAGATATTATCTTTATGTGATTCAGGTTATGCTTATACTTTTATGTTCTTGTCTCGAATTATGCTATCTAGTATAGAATTAATTCCAAATCTTAACAAAACTGGTTCCGAAGTATATCATCTAGTTAAACAATTACCACAAGAATATGCTTTTAATATTTACATGGACAACTTTTTTTCAAGTATAAATTTATATCAATTTCTTCGTGAAAAAGGATTTGGAGCTTGTGGAACTGTAAGAACAAATACTACAAGGTTTCCTGTAATTTTAAAACAAGAAAAAGAAAAAAAAAATTTGGAGTGGGATCACTTGATAGGAGTAGTAGTCGATGATGTATTAAGCTTTTTATGGATTGACAACAGTCCTGTTACGATGCTTACAACCATACACAAAATTGATGGACAAGATAGTAAAATTAAAAAAAATCATAGAAAGCCATATGAAGCCAGTACAAACTATAAAAATATTAGATCAGTATTTGGTGATGAAGTTCGAAAAGTTATACCTATTCTAGTTGCAGTTGATGATTATAATCACTATATGGGCAGAGTAGATATTGCAGACCAATTAAGAAGTTATTATTCAACTCAATTGACCATTTTTAGAGTATGGGTACCTTTATTCTTCTGGTTACTAGACACTGCTATTATAAATTCATATTTAATTTGTAAAAAATTAAATATAGCAGAAGAACATAAAGCATTTAGATTTGCATTAATACGAGATTTAATTAAAGACTCTTTAAACCCTCTAAAAAGAACAACCTGAAGTGGAGACAACAATGTACAAATAATTGAAAAAGATAACACCAATGTCAACAAAAAGTTTCATGTTTCTGCAAACTTTGAATTGCCACTATATAGATTAGTTGGTAATAGTCATTATCCTGAATACAGAGAAAGTGATAGAGGTGCATGTTTGTGGTGTAGATATCTTTTCAAAAAAATAATGAAACATATCAACAAAATCCTCCACAATCACAAATTTGGTGTAGCAAATGTAGTATACCATTATGTTGCAACAAAACTCAGCCAAATTGCTTTAAAGATTTTTATACCAATTCAGAGTAATATGCTGAATTGCATGTTCATTGGATATTGCTATAAAAAGGGAATTGGAGTCGAAAAGGACGTAAAGAAGGCATTTGAATATTATAAAAACTTTGCAGAAATGGGTAATAATAAAGGAATAATTAATGTTGGATATTGCTACAATGAAGGATTCGGAGTCAAAAAAGACATAAAGAAGGCGTTCGAATATTATTCACAGTTTCAAAAAATTTACCTTGTTAATAATTCTTAAAAGATCTGGGCATTCATTAACACACAATAAAAAGAAAAAAAAAATACATCACATTAGCAGTACATATCAGAATTACTACTTCAAATAATCGTATGATATACTTTATTTTATATTTTGATGTCTTTTTTTTTTTTTTTTTTTGAAATATGAGTTTAAAATTTTATATCAGATAAATAACGATCCCATAATTTATATTATATTTTTAGGTAAAAAATTTTTTTTAAATAAAAAGACCTATATGTTCTTCAGTAGTACATATACCCAAATTTTGATTAGTGATACTCGCAATTGACAACTTAAAATAGCCTAGTCATAAAAAAAATAATCACTATTCTATTTTCAAACATCCTAAAAGCGATTTATAAGACTTTGTTGTAAACAGTATAAGAATTTTTGAATAAATAGGATCATCTGAATGTTTTTTTTTCATTCCTCAGGTGTTATTTACAATGGGAATGAATGTCATTTTTGAATTGAACCTATCATTTGCTTTCTAACTATTTTAAGCAAAGCAGGCTCTGACTGCCTTTGATTATTTATGAATTTACATCATTATCAATATGCAATTTATTGTTAGTATATACCGGTAATTATAAAGAAGTAATTACATAGTGCAAAGACATAATGTAAAATTTACCACCTTCATGCTGTATTTATTTCGCATATTGTTGACCCAGAAAGCATCTCAATAGTTGCGGAGCCAGGATTACACCATTTTTATTCTTCTCTTGTAGAGATCACTATAATTACCCGAATATGTTTAAAAGTTATTAATGTATTGATTGTCAATAAGTAAGAGCAAAGAGGTGTGAAGTCATATACCTAGATTACATGAAGGCTAATTCGTGATATATAAAAAAAAAAAAAAATTTTTTTTTAAAAAAAAACGATAATTACTCACAGATAGTTCCACTAATTGACCAACTTGACGTCGCTAATACCTTCATCATTGCTATAAAAGTTGCTGAACTAAGAAAAGTAAAATATAATAGGAATCCAGAATGGCCACCACATTCAAAGCCTGGTACAGGGAACTCTGCCTTTTTTTTTTTTTTTTTTTTTACAGCAACAAAAGGGCTGATCATCCTGATGTTTAATTCTGCTAATCTTGCAAGCTTCTTTGCATATTGTGTAGTGGTAATGTTGGGTTGCCCACTATACTGAAGAGGGTGAACGAATAAACTGAAGAGAGTGAATGAACTGGCGGTACTGTATATAAAAAAAGTTGTGAAAGGCAAAGTAACATATCTCGAATAATGTACAGAATTTCTAAAAGTAAGCGTAATTGTACGCACATTATATATTGGTACAAATTTGCCAACTTGATAAACAAGTCATATGTTATTAATAATTAAAGTTGTGAAACATAATTAAAACTTTAATTTTGGTCTAAGATATATATTAATACGTTCAATATTTAAGATAATTTGCAAGGTAGAATGTAAGGAAAAAATTTTACGAAATTTAAAAAATCATGTATTTTTAACTAAATAAATACGAACCTTTAATTATAAAAAAAAAAACAAATTTAAGAAATATAAACTATATTTGACTAATAAATTATCTAAAAATTAAAAAAATTAGTGTATTAATAATAAAATTAAAAAAATTAATAAGACATAAAAAAGTTGAAATTACGCAGACAAATTTGCCTGCGAACCCTGACAATCCAAGGGATATAATAAACTAATTTAACTAGGTAATTTTCTTTTTATTATAACTTTTTTTTTACATCATAATCATAGTTGAAATTTTGCAAATTTATGCATAAAGGTTATACCAAGATACTTGCATAATAGCACAAAAAATACTTAATTATAATTGGTTAATTTAGAAATATATTAAAAAATTTTAATTTTTTTAATTTTTTTTAACAAATTAATCAATTTTGAGATTTTTTTAAAAAATATGTAATCAAAAATTAATTTAATTTTTTTTTATAAATATATTCTATATATTTTCAAATATTTTTTTTTTTTTTTTTTTTTAAACTTTGGTGACAATGCCAGTTGGTTTTTATTAGCCGTAATTTGATATAGTACAAATTTATGGTTACATTTTAGGATCGATTATTACTAGTACTATATACTATCTAATTTAACA